GGTGAATCAATGTAAGTTTTACCAAGTAAGATGATCTAATCAATTTAGAGATTGAGAAGATTATTATTGAAACGATTGTCTTATCTGTCTCTTAATAATAATTATCTTTAATTATTATATCAATCTAATGATTATGACGATGTCAATTAAATGATGACTGATGATGACCTACAAAAACAATCAATTGTGAAAGTTATTTTACCGGAAAGAGTAAGCAAAACAAAAAAAAACTTTTTCAATGAAAGTAAAAGTAGGATAAATATTATAAGTATAATTAATATACACAATTTATATTGTATTTTAAGGGTTAATTTGATTGTAACAATCAAAAAAATCACACTCACTGATTGAAGTACATGAAATAAAAAGTGATGTGTATTAAATTGTGTAATCATATTTAATGATAATAGGGAAGTGCCAAAAAAGTGAGTAAGTTAATTGTTGATTATGATGGCGATCGATTCATTTGTTTCAATAACAATTAACGATAATCAAAAGGTAAGAGAAAAAAAAAAGTTCAAGTAATTGAAAGAATTGGAAAATTATAATCAACAATTTTCATCATCATTAATCAATCATCATTTGGATCACCAAATTTATCAATTGTAGACAAAGATTTGATTGTTGTGAAAGTAATTGATTAACAATCAAGTGGATGATGATGATTTTTTTGTGATATTTCTGTTAGTTAATTGTTGTTAATTAACTTGATGTGTATACACACACACATGATAATCTTAACCATGTTTTTCAATAATAACAAGAGAAAACAAAATCAACTGATTGTTATGAATATATATGAATTGGTATCATGATTAAATAGTAATAGTTAATTATTACAATCAGGAAATAATATTGAAGTAATCAAGTTAATATCTATTAAAACAGTAATCTAGTGATCAAGTAAATTGTAGTTATTTTAACTACAATTAAGGTAGTCACAGCTTGAAGGTGAATTCAATGGTTTGTAACATTGTTAAATTACATAACAATTAACTTTTTTTTTCACCATGTTGATGGTTGTTATGATTAACTAATTAACTAAACTATAAGATTTTGTTGTTCCCAATCTAATTTGATCATCAATCAGTAAGTAAATTTATATATATATTAGTATTTAGGGATAACTATTGGTGAATTTATGTGATTATTATTCAAAATTTACCCTGAAACTAAATAGCCCTTGGGGCATTTAAATTGGGCAATAATGATGAATATATAAGAGAAAAACAAATAATAATAATAATAATCAACAGTTTCTTATTATGAGAATGATGAAATCAACTTGATCCTCATCCGGATCATCTGTTTGACCTCATCCCTGCTCATCTTTTTACCTGTTATCTTACCTGTAAAACTTGAATGTTTGGTCAACATAGAGACTGGACTTTGTTTTACCTTTCAGATTGATACAAATTTTTACAGGTAAAAGAAATGAAAATGACATAATAAAATAAAGATGCTAACATATTACAATTAGTTTCACTTGGATGATAAGGATTGATGATGAAGATGAAGTTGATGATGACCAACAACAGGTAAGTGATTATACTGTTTCCTTGTTTCTTTTTCTTTTGACAGGTAACCTGTCATTTCAATCTACCTGTTGTTGTTGTTGTTATTTTTTTTCTACAGTTTCTATGTTTATATCAATGTGATGAGGATGATGAGACTGATGATGATGAAAAAATGTAAATTATTGATAAATTGCGTGTTGGAAGATGAAAAATAAATCAAGGTAAATAATCAACGATTTAAAAAAAACATCCAAAGGTAATAAAATCTGATTATAACAATAGGGATTTTTGAAACAACAACAGTTGATTAAGGTTAATATTGTTATTAATTGTTATCATCATCATGTTAATTACAAGATGCTGATGATAATACAGAGGGAGAGATGATGATTAAGATGATGTAAGTTCTGGATTGACCTGAAAATAACAAGATAAAACAACTCAGGTAACATGTTAACCTAAAAGACTAATTATCATCTTAAGCCCCTTTTATTTCATCTTCATCAGCACTCTCATCATCATGTTACAAGGTCATCATTCATTGAGCCTTTAATCATTATCATCTTCATTGTAAATCTTAATTGTTCAACATTAATTTTAATTATCTTCCTGCCTTTTAACCTCTAACGGTTAAACAGTTAAGTAACAACAACTAACCAACAACAAAGGTATCAAAAGGTAAAGGCAAACAAAAAATGGTATCAATTGAACAAGACAAACAACAATCAGTAAATTGTTTTACTTTCAAACTCTTTAAACAGGTAAATTAGTTTTAATTGTGATAACAATCAAGAGCAATAGAGAGATAGGGAGATCTGACAAGTTGAGAGTCAATTAAATATCCAATATGTTTAAGGTGCTTAACCATTTGGGTGGTTAATTAATTTCTTGAGGATAGAAATTAACAATTAACTCAATTACAATAATGATCGGTCAACATTGAATTTGATCCTGATTCAGTTAAATTGACGGAAAAGTTGGTTAATTGCTACAATATAACAGGTTAACCTGTTAACAATTTAGATTCATTGAATTGTCATTGAACTTTTCTTATTGAGGTACTTTAACTAATTGTCACCCTAATCAAGCAAATTATAATATATTTATATAAATATCAGATGATTTAAAGGTTAATTAATTGCAGTTAATTAGTTAACCAAGTAAAGTTCATCATGAAAACTGATTTGAATTTAAAATCGTTCAAGTAAATAATCAATTCTCAATTTAGTTTCACTCCAAATCAATAAACTAACCTAATTGTAATATATTCACAGTTAAATAGACTCACACACCTTTGATTAAATTGTTTAAAATTGATTATTAACAGTTAATTGTAATGGTGAATATAAGAGAGAGAAAAAATCAAACTTTTCACTGAAAATGAAGTTTAATTAACTGATTGTTTAACAATCTAAATTACTTTTGTATCATGAGGAAATTAATTTCATGAGTTATCATCATCATCATCATTAATCAATAGTCTAATCAAAATGTATTTAATTATCTTTGGGTTACCTTAATTATCACAATGAGATTTAGCTGATAATTTTGCAGATTAATTCTCAAAGTATTATCATTATTATAATTAACCAATTGATTTTCTGAGACGAGTTGGTAACACGAAAGGTAAAAAAAAGAGAGCTGGTCAAAATAACGGTAAAAAAAATAGCTGAGCGATTGGTCAAGCGTTTGGATTGGAAAAGGTAATTAACATTATTTAAACAGGTAAAATTTGAAACAGGATTTAAAGTGAAATCTAATCTTGTTTATATCATATTAATAGTAAACTGACCGAGAAAACGAAAAGGAAATGGTCAGTATTGGGAGAGAATTGATAACCTTAAAGATGATGATGAGATGATGGTGATGATGAATTTGGGTGAGGCTGATTTGCTTCTGAACGTTTAAATATCAATAACGATGATAAATTTATCTATTACTCTGAATACTTGACGATATCAATTCTGTATTCATTTCAATGCTGAATCAGGTTCACCTTGGATTATAAGAGATTAGGATTGATATCATCGAATAAGAAAATTGTTATTAATTTTACTTTTCTATGAAATTTTGATTTACCTTGAATTGTCATCATGATGATGATGATAATTTAATGAATTTTCTGAGGAAGCGAAAAAAATTTAATATCTAAATTATAACAAGAGTAGAGAAAAGTTTTCAAATTTGTTTCGATTGTAATTGTAATAATTATAATTGTTTCAGTTTTTCTTTCCGTTCTCGATTTGTAATTAAAGCGGAAGTTAATTTCTTACAGTCTCTCCTTTTTTTTTCATCATCATCATCATCATTAAAAATCATCTGCATCTTCATGATAAAATATCATTATTATTATTATTTATATAATTTCTTGAAAAAAAAATCAGGCCTAATGATGATGATGATGATACCTTGATTACTTGATTATGTGATCATTATAATTGTATGAAAAGGTAACAATTGAAATCCAAGTAAACCATTGAAGTGAAAGTTATGTTTTTTTACTTGATGTTGGTAATTGTTTTGAATTAAGTAAATCAAATGTTACTCATCATCATCATCATGGTACACCCAAGTTAATCATAATGAAGATGATGATGATTATGATGATGAAAAGGTATCTGAATGATGAATGGAGATCGGTAAGAGAGAGAGAGAGAGAGAGAGAGTTGTCATAAGAAGATGATGCTTTTGTTATTGAATATTAAAATGATGAAGATGAAGATGAGGATGATGATGATCTCAATTTCACTTTCTTTCGAATATCATTTTTTCATCTTCTTTGTTTACAGTCACACAATTGAACAGGAATTAATTTAATCACTGATCGTAATTGGGGAAAAAAGTTATATTAGAAGTGGAGATAAAAACTACGAACTTTTTAATTCGATCAGAACTTTTCTAATTTTTTTCTAATTTTCTTTTTTTTCCTTGATCGAATCGATCACTGATTTGATGTAAAAGCAATAGAATTAGGTAATCATCATTAACAATTAACTAATTGCCAATTGATTGCGATTAACTGTAATATCCAACATTTGTTTGAAGATAAATTAACAACAATCACTAAATTCACTGTGAAAAAAAAATCGCGAATCAAAAACTTTTTTCATCACTAATCATCGTTAATTGTCAATTTCACTTTTCAATTCCGACTTGTGATTGATCGTTGATTATAATTAAATCAACGATGAGGTGATGATTATTGTCAAAACAATTTGATCAACTTTTTTCTTGTCACAATCCATATTTGATATCACAACAATTAGTTTTGATTAGGTGGAAACAACAACAACAACAAAAAACACCAACATTGTCAACACCAATCAACTAATTGTTAATTTGATTGTTAACTTTGGATTATCAGTCTTTTTTTGTTTCTCGTTTACAGATTTTGATTTTAAATTTAGAGATCAACAGTTTGGGATACAATTAACCGTTAATTAAACTAAAAGGATATTATCAAAATTAAGATTTGAAACTTACCATTATCTAAATTATTATATCCATTGGATGACAATTGTATCCTATTATTATTTTGATCATCATGTTTACCATGTTGATCAATTTGATTAGTTCCGTTAATGTAAGTTAAATTGTTGATAATTAAAAGAGTCAAAATCCATATTGTCACAGGCAACATTGCCAATCACATTTGAACACACTTCAATCCTTAATTAAATTAAATTAATTATGGACAAAAATCAACAAGATGATTTAGGATAATCTAATTTCTGTCCAGTTAATCAATAATATTTCGTTGATTTTGGTTGATTTCCTTTTTCAAAAAACGATTCTAACAACAACAAAAATAAACCCAATTTAAAAACTTTGTTAACTGTTTAACTTGATTGTTGATTAGTCCTTAACTGTTTGTTAGTTGATTGTGATTCTTTCCATTCATGATTACATTTCAAACTGTTTCCCACCTTCTTTTACCTTTAGCCTCCTCCTTCCTCGATTTTTACCATCAACAAAAACCCGAAAAGTGGAAAAACTTTACCTGAACCCGCTCTCCACAAGTAACTTCATCTCTTGGAGGAAAATTTAACTAAAAGGAAAACTTTTTTTCTGGTTAACAATTTGAATCGAAAAAAAATGTTTAGTTTCGCCATCTATCGTTAGAAAAGTAAGATGAGTTCGATTTATGAAAGGAAAACTTTTTTTTCACCTTCTCACAATTTAACAACATTCTCACTCTACTAACTGAATTTAGTCTGGTTTTGTAATATGATTCGCGTACCGTAGTGTTTCCTGGTCTAAGAAAGCAAACTTTAAAATGAGAGAAACTTTAATAACAACGAACCAACTTTCAGAACAATAAACCAAAGTTTGAGTATTCGTTTCCTTTGTTACTTGGGCACTTTGGGATAAACGCAACGATCAATGTAACGATAACTCTTACTAATGTACACGAAGTTTCATCAAATTCAAGTAAAGTGCTAACTTATCTGACATACTCTCTCACTCCACTCAAGACGATTTTAATGCCTTAGTTACAAAACAATTAATAAATATTATTATTTTCCTCTTGTGTTTAATTCATAAATGCGTAATTTTCATAATCTTTTGCATGCCTCTCTCTCTCTCTCTCTCTCTCTCTCTCTCTCTCTCTCTCTCTCTTCTCTCTTTCTTACCCTTGCCCTTTCTCTACCACCTTCCAGATCAGCCTGTCTTCATGTACAAGTACAAGAGTAACAATTTAATCAGAATTTGAGTTGAAGACAAGAGCTTTGTTATTCAGAACGAAAGGGTTTATCAATTAAGTAACCACTTTAAGAGCTGCAAAAGTATGTAGATGAATTTTATTTTGTATTTTCTTTCATCTCTCACAACGAAACTTAAGTGATTTTCTCTCTGACTTGTAAATATAAAATCTATTGATTCTGATAGTCTCCTTACTTTGTTATTGTTTCTCAAATGTTTAAGTTATTAGTTTTAACCCTTTTATCAACTTTAATTTACGTTGTAGGAACCATTAGTTATACTTTTAACGATGAAAATAATCCGGTACAAAACTTTCAAACCTCTTATGGTTGGAGTGGCATCGAACGAGTTGATAACATTTTCGCCGTAATTAAACATCGCCATTTGACCAAACGTGCTAAAAACTTTCCCAGTAAGCTAAACGAGAGATTTAATAACATTAAATTCTCTGGTGATGAGAAAGGCCACTTGATAGGTCCACAATTTTCTGGACCCGATGAATGGTACAATCTTTCACCACAAAACATTCGGGTTAATCGTAATGCTGAGCTGGATTCCGTTACACCAGGCTGGTTTAGAACTGAATGTGAAGTGGAAAAGTTTCTTGCCGATAGAGAACAAAATTATGTCACTTGGGATGTACACATGGAATATGCTGGAGAATCGAATCGACCCTATGTATATTTATTGAGAGTCAAGTTTTACAAAGGTGATGTTGAAGTGAATGAAAGTAGTACCAGCAACTCGAATCCATTCGTTAACAACGATAAAATATATACCTGTAAAGGTTGTTCTTCTGATAAGTGTGTAGTTGTGGACCAAGTTTCAATGAATGGAGACTCTTCTTTAATAACATATAAGTGAACGTAAAAATCTATTATCTCTTGTATCTCCTTGAAGGAAATTCAATAATCTACTGTTGGAAAATTGTACTAAAAGTTTTCAATTATAAAGTTTTAATCAAAACATTTAATAAGTATTGATATTAAATATTCAATTGAAGCTAATCGCTAATTGTTTGGTACTTTTTTTTACAAATTAATCGAGTCTTTGTTGCCTCAACTATTAAAGTGTCATCCTCAAGTCTATTCAAAGGAATCTTTAATTTTGACAGAATTTCTGTAAGCAAATGGAGAGATAATAAGATAGATAGATAGAGAGTGAGACAAACAGAGAGGAAGAAAAAGGGAAAGAGAGAGAGAGAGAGAGAGAGAGAGAGAGAGAGAGAGAGAGAGAGAGAGAGAGAGAGAGAGAGAATAGAAGTTGATATAACGAAGATACTGAAAGATATCAATAGAAATTTTCATTTATTCATCTCTTTTATCCCTTCGAACCTGAAGATTATTTTTAAAAACTCTCGAGAAATCATTTAAATCTATTTGTATTTTCATGAAGGAGAAATAATAATATTGTTACACTGATAAATATCCAAGAATTTAAATGAACAGTTACAATTGAATAGTTGATAATATAATGATTGTGATTATTTCCATTCATGGTTAGATTTCAAAGTGTTTTGCTCGGAGCGAATCTCTTCTTCTTTTCATCTTCCATCTATTGGAGAAAAAATCAACTAAAAACTAAACTTTTGCTCTTATTCATCAGTCTAGTCTCGCAATCTATTGTTGAGGAAATGTATTAAAAATTTAGATGAAAAAGTTTTTAATCAACTTTGTTCATTTGAAATGAGCTATTGGAACAATTAAATCTTTTCTGTATTAATAAATGAGCAATTATTAACCGAATAGAAATTAAATCGACCAATTTACTCAAAGATAATTTTGGTAAACTAATTGACTTTAAATCGAAACTAAAAGCTCTAGAAGCTCAATTTTTGTTCTTAGTTCAAGCGTCATATAAAATTGAGATGACAAAGTTTTTCGTCATTCGAAATGAATAATTGGAACAGTTTAATTTTTATTAATAAACGAGCAATTAGATAATTGGTTCTCTTTTCAACTTTTTCATTATTTGTACACATAATTTGATTAAAACTTTTATTATTTACATTTGATTTATATGTACAAACTTAACTTATCTATGGTTAGATTGTCACTGAAGGTTTATTATTGAGATTATTAATAATACATGTTATAATAAGTGAATGAAAAAAGATTGAATGAAAAATCAAGATAAACTTTTATCCTTTTTACGGCGCAACAGGTAAGTCACCCAATCAAAGAGTAAAGAAGGCCTCAAGCGGCTGAGGCAACGGTTGAACCAGGAGGTAGGATCACCTTGGCAACGTAAGGTTCATCATCAATACATTCATATACATGTTCAATCATGTGATGACAAGAGTATGGATTACATGATTGTTTAGGATTATATAAATGATAAAATGATTAGGTGTTGGTCCATGGTAGCCATATTAGACCGTTATGGCAGCAGCGGCTGCAGCAGCTGCGGCAACTGCGGCCGGTGTTAACCTACGACAACCATAATCAGATCCACTTTCGGTGGTGGCAGCGTCACTGGCAAGATAATGACGCGATGATGAAACTCCGGATAATCCACCCATACTAGATGAATTACCAATCATGGGCTGTGATAATTGAGCTGGATTTCCAGTAAGATTTTGAATAGATGGATTCTTATTATAACCTCCAAAAACGAATCCCCTAGAAAGTCCTCCGTTAAGGCCACTATTAAGAGGAAGGTGATGTACACCAATTCTTGAATAGGTAACTAAAAGAAGTACTAATCCAAGGCCAGTTAATATGATAGACGAGGCAATGACAAATAAAGCAAGATGAGAACGAGCCTCAAGTGAGCAAAGATTGGCAAACATTGGTAAGGCTTGTGTTGATGTTGACCAAGAGATGAGTAAAATAACTATTAATGGTATCAAATATGATGTTAGGTAAAGATAGCGTCTCAAATTGAGACTCTCAATTTAACTGGATTTATGCCACCGGTAAGTATTGAAGCCGTTGTTGGTGTGGTGGTGGTGGCAGTTGATGAGATATTCACAGAGGCAGAAACGGTTCCTGATGGACCAAGGACAAGAGATGGATCAATAAATTGTTTCCTTGATAGGCGTACATGAAGCTCAAGATCAAGATCAAAAAGAATCCAAACAAAATGAACAAGAAGAAAATAATGATATAAGGCAACAAGAAAACCTAATGAACGAAGGGTTGAAGTGTTGAAGTGTTGGTTGTTAATGAATTAGATGATGATGATGATGATGATGATGAAATTGATGTTGTATTGAAATAGTTTGGTGAAAGGTAAGTACCCAGAATTAATAATAACACAAGATGATCGAGTAATAAATTGATTGTAACATTTTTACGAATCAATGCTGATTTCTTGGTTTGCAGTGAACGAATAAGGACAAGGGTAACCAAGGCAATTAATAGAATAATTGAGTTTAGAGTTGATCCAAGAATTAAAAGAATACGAATTGTTCCTTCATTTTCTAAATTACTGTAATAAAGTTGACCGGAAGATGATTCACTTGGTGGTGGTATGTATAAATTTTTACTCTTTTCCCCCAATAGACAACATTGAAGAGACAAACGAGAAAATATTCTTGATACAACATCAATACGTTTTGATCGAGTGGGAAATTTTGACCACCAACGGGAAAATACATTTTTATTTGGGTGTTTGTTTCCTTTGATAACCAGTGGCCTCTGAAATGGGAGAAAAGTAAAGTAAAAAGTACGAAAAGTTATACATATTATTAATACGAAAGATGGAAATTTGATTGGATGGATAAACTTAACGATCGACGTTCTTACCAATGTATAAGAAGTTTCATCTGAAGTAACGTTACCATCTTTATCCCATCGTCTTTGGTATCTCATACCGTTTAATTCACGTGCTGCTCAGCGGTTATTCTGTATCGAAGCTTAAAATAAAAGAAGACAATAGTTAACTTTTTTTTCCATAAGAGATTAGCCCTTCTAGTTACCAAACTTTTGCAGTTTTGTTTATCTTTTCATTGCATAGGTGGAGGCACAAGGTTCAGCAAATTACTTCAAACAATATTTTCCATGCAAGTTTAATTCATATTTGGTTGAATTTTAATCATTCGACTTGATCAAAATTTCTCATTCTCTAGTAAACCCTAATCCCGAGTCTTATGATATTATACAAATATCATTATATCGATATGTAAAGAAAATAAGAAATCTTTTCCTAAATAAATTATAAACTAATTCATCTAATATAA